TTTAGACCTTTAACTAGATAAAAAGTAGGCTTTTGAGTAGCTGTTTATCTGCTAGTGTGGGTTGTTGCACACACTTTTGGGGTTCACCTTAAAAATTCACGGCCTGAATTTTCACTCCCTGACTTGCCCAGAATTATTGTCCATTGTGTCATAATTGTAGGACGAGTAGTAAAACTCAGCTCAGGTTGCTGGTAGCTATCCTGGCAGCCATCTTCTCACTCGGCCAGAGTTTATCATCAAATGACCGTCTTACTTGGATGTGTCTGGAGCCTCTTCCATAGAGAGAACTTGGTTTTGAGGAATCCTCCAGTTGTTGGCTGCTAGTGAAACAAAGCTAAATTGGAGCCTTTCCAAGCATCTCAGGGAATTACTACCTTCTCTACTTAAATTTTATGTCCAGATGCTAGGAACTTCTCCCCTCCAGATTGCATTTTGCTAGAATTTAGGCTGAGGAATTGAGTTGCCCTTAACATACTTTAGTGAAATACAACTTTTATATCCTTGTAGGTTTATGACTTTTTAGGCTTTTCAGGGCCAAAGCTGTCAGCTGATCAGGTCAACAGTGCTTAAAGGCATGTATAAAAGGGCTTTGGGGAGAGGATGGCAGCCCCGGGATAGCTCAGCAAAACGCTTCATTGTGTATGTTAGTGCTTTTCCACGCTCATGACAGTCCTCTGAGATGACATCTCAGGCTTGCAAACCTAGGACTCCACTACACACTTCCCAAGGTATGAATCACTTTGAAGCTTCAGACACAGACGAATGATTCCGACTTGAGATGTTAGCTCTAGATTGACTGCATTCTGAAAAGCACTAGAAAGTGGAGGAGAAAAATTATTGCTAATATTAATACTTAAGGTGGAAATTAACCTTTGAAAATAAATCATCTGAAACCAGAAGTGAAATTTTCCCTGTTTTAGTGTACACCTGAGAAGCATTACTTTGGTGTGTATACTACTGAAATCTTGCCTGTGCTTATTCATGTATCTGTATATGCATAAAACATAAAACATACTTTTTTAAAAATACAAACATAGTTTTCCTGCACATGGTTTTTTTCATATAACATGGACTTTTTCCTAGGTGATTAATTCTTTAATGCTCACGTGGTTGCTTTGAGGAAAGAACACCAGACCTTCTGTCACCTTTTTTATGACAGTTTTCCTCCTACCACAGGATTGTTGAGAGACTCAAATCAAATTTGGAGGGTTCTTGGGAAGCAAGCGCAAGAATAGAAAGTTGTGCTTTCAAGTTTGCCTGTTTTAGGCCTCCATCTGCTGACTGTGTTCGGCCACCTGTACTTCTTGAAGTTTGTCCATAACTTACTTTTTCCCCACCTTGTTATTTGGCCTGTATTTAAGAATTTTGAAAAAACTTTCTGACAAGTTTATATGGTAATTAGTGAATAACATAGTTATTCTGGAGCTAAATGGGTCAGTAGCCACTGACAGTAAAAAAAGAGAGGTCATCCGAAGTGGCATCCTTCAGACGTCCCAAGTACAAAACATGAAAACTACCTAAAAACTCGTGTAACTCCAAACCGAAGAACTTAAATTGCATTCTAGGAAAAGGAAGGGACCTGAGAGTAAAAACTGAGCTTCGTTCCCAGCGCCACCACCCAAGTGTCGTGGAGTTGGACAAGGGCATGTGTTGTAGTTTAGCCTCGGCTTCTCCACCTATAAAATGAGGTTGCTATCCACCTATCAGAGATGTTAGAATGTGAGAAGAATGTATATAAAAATCCTGGTAGACTTTTTTTGAAATGGGGAAATGACACACAAATTATATCTATTTTAAACTCTTCTGTTTCCTGAAAAGAACAAACAAGATGGATTTTGGAGGGTGGCGGTCATTGCTCTTTTGTCTATGGAAGAAAGCGTTGATCAGTAAGTTCTCCCCAAGTGGATTGAGCTCCTTGGAAAGAAGAAACCATACTTTATCTATAGCTTAGGTTTTTACATTATCAAGGTTTTTGTGTGTCATAAATGCTCAGAATATTGTAACTGGGCTGGGTTTGTCAACTTCTCCCTCCACCTGCCTTCCATACTTTACACAGGCTCGTATTCCACCTATCTACGTGAGGTATGTGGATTTGGCAACTGTGGTCTCCTAAATATTGGCAGTAGCCTTTTCTCCCTTAGTGTCGAAATACCAAGGAACGTGATCATTAAAAAAAAAAAAAACATCCCTGGTAAAATAAGTTGGGAGGATGGCAAGGTTAGGCTACGCTGTGAGTTTGGATGATCTTTAGAACTTCAGGGTACTGAGTTGCTTTAATGCTGTTTCCTAAGTTTCTGCTCCTAAGTTCTCCTAGAGCTGGGTTTACAGGCATGTCCTGTGAGGCGACAG